TTTGTGAAACAGGTAATTTTTTTCTTTAACTAAAAGTGTTTCTTGGATAGAAAATTTTAGCAAAATAATATTCTAAAGCTTATAACGCAATCAAGCATGTATTTATACCTGGAAATATGCAAATCTGTATCTGTTTCCAGTTTGCTTGTTAGGACTTTCCACAAAAAAATTGTATATATATTATTTTGATTTTCCTAGGAAAACATGTTTCTGCTTTTATGTTGGCTTTATAATCAGGTTTACATGTGTTACCTTTGTGATTGCTGATGCTTGAAATAGATATATGAAATATCATAAATTTACAATATTTTTGCAGCTGTCAATGCTTGTGATGTTAACCTCTGTCAGAATGGGGGACACGTGTTTTTGTCAAATAAAAAGGACTTTAGAAAAGACAAGTGTATTGATTAAAACATTAAAAAAAAGAATTGCATTCTGTTGACAGCTATCAGTGCCTGCAGTAACAACCTCTGTCAGAATGGAGGTACTTGTAACACGGTTCCTGGTTCCTGTACAGCTTATACTTGTACCTGCCCTGGATGTTTTACTGGGGCCTTTTGTGAAACTGGTAAATACATTTATATATACACGATCAAAGATTTTTAAAAGAGATTTGTTTCCCTCCTCCCAAGAGTCTTATGTTTCTTGTAGGGTGCAATTGTTTCGGTCTCTCAACCTTGAGATTGTAGGATCCGCATTGCTGCGTTCACATCAAATTCAAACCAAACTTTTTTGTCAATATAAAAGTTAAACCTTTCAGTGTATTTAGTGAGTAGTAAGGAATTGGCAGGTATACTCTCTTAATGAGTGTTTAAAATATAGTACAATAAAAGGCATTTCTGTTTGGCCGAGTTAGTATTAAAAACATGTGTTAGGTTGATTTTATTATTTTATAGAAAGGGATTTGCTGTGGGCGGAGATATACTGTCTACTGAATGCTTTTACTGTTATTATTACAACTACTATTATTATTACTATTACTTGCTATCATTATTATTGTTGTTGTTAATTTAGATTTTAATTCATGCTATAATTGTTATTGATTTCCTCGCTTCATTCATTTTATAGGCCTAAATGCTTGTGCTAACAACATTTGTCAGAATGGAGCTGCTTGTGTTGCTGTAGCTGGCTCCTGTACAGCTTACACATGTACTTGCAATGGATGCTTCACTGGAAACTTTTGTGAAACGCGTATGTTTACTTTATTTATCAGTATCTACAAATAATCTTTGTGTTTTTTGCTTTGAATCATGTAAATATGGACAAATTATTGTTCTATTGCTACTATATTCTGACTCGTCTGTGTTTTTCATTTGACAACTTAGCAATCAGTGCTTGTGCTAACAATGTCTGTCAGAATGGAGCTGGTTGTAATGCTGTAACTGGTTCCTGTACAGCTTACACATGTACTTGCAATGGATGCTTCACTGGAAACTTTTGTGAAACGCGTATGTTTACTTTATTTATCAGTATCTACAAATAATCTTGGTGTTTTTTGCTTTAAATTTAATCATGTAAATATGGACAAATTGTTGTTCTATTGCTACTATATTCTAACTCGTCTGTGTTTTTCATTTGACAACTTAGCAATCAGTGCTTGTGCTAACAACATCTGTCATAATGGAGCTGCTTGTAATGCTGTAACTGGTTCCTGTATAGCTTACACATGTACTTGCAATGGATGCTTCACTGGAAACTTTTGTGAAACGCGTATGTTTACTTTATTATTTGATAACTTTTATCAAACTGTATTTATTTTCTTAAAGCTATATAATTGATTTATGTTTACTTGCTGTTTGTGGACTAGAGCACACATCAACTATTCTCAAGCAACTTCATTGTCTCCCTGTAAATCCAAGAGTTATTTTTAAGACTCTATATGATAAAGTCTTTCATGTTTGGCTCCTGCTGATTTATCTGCATCAGTCAGCAAATATGTTGCAAACAGACCACTCAGACCTGCATCTCAAGTCCTGTTAGCTGCGACAAGTACCCTTCACTCAAACACTTTGGCTTCAGGTCTTTTGAATTCTCTGCCCCAGATTTCTGGAATAAACTTTACCAGGATGTTCGAACTGCTCCTTCGGTCCGTTATTTTTTTTTTCTCTATTGCGCTATTTTTTTAGAGCCAATCACAGGATTCGTACGTATCTTTGAATTCCTTGAATTTCTTGAATGTCGTGGAAATAAATGAGCATTTTCCAGTACTGGAAAGTTTCAAATTTATTTTTGTCCTTGAATGTCCTGGAAATTTGATCATTTACCATTTACCCAGTACTGCAAGTTGCCTAGTAACAGTAAATTAAATAAGAAACGTTTCCACAAGTAGGTTCCCACTATACTCTTGGGAGTAGCAGATCAAGTCTTTGCACACCACCAATTTAGAAATGTTATCGAAGACAGAAAGAATAGCCATATATAAACTTTGCCTTAGCTGAGACAGTTATCATTTGCTGAACAACAACACTGGACAGGTGTGTACTCGACCCCGCGGCACCACAAAAGAACCAAGTTATTCTGGCACGCCACTACCACAAAAGGAACTGACACGTTTAAGCGATAAGATAAGACCATAGTTGTACGCACACATTGTGTTGCCAAAGAGAGAATTCTGGAATTAGTTCTGTAGGTGATTAGCCCTGCCTTACTTTACCAGTACTTTCCAATACTCGTGGGAATTCCTTTGCTTACCGAACCAATTTTTACATGTGTAAGAAAAACAGAATTTCCCACAAACATGAGAAAAAGAGACAGATCCATCACCTGAGAATTACAGTTAGATCAAACTTAATATACACTCAACTAACATGCATTTAATATTAGTACAGCATACATGTTTTATAATGAATCATAATATTGCCGATATTTTACTGTTAAGTGATATAATGTGTTTTTGAAATTTGACCTGGCATGTTCTGGAATTGTCCTGGAAATTTGCTTGTTTAAAAATGTACGAACCCTGTGATCATATGCTTGGTATTCTATAACCAAAAGCTTTTTCTAAACCACAAAAAGTGAATCACTTTCAATTGCTGTCATTCTGTATACTTATCTGTGTTTGTATGTGTTGCCTTTGTGATTGCTGATGTTTGGAATATATGAAATATCATAATTTTACAATATTTTTGCAGGTATTAATGCTTGTGCTGGTAACCTCTGTCAGAATGGAGGTGCTTGTAACACTGTTCCTGGTTCCTGTACAGCTTATACTTGTACCTGCTCTGGATGTTTTACTGGTGCCTTCTGTGAAACAGGTAAATAAATACCTAGTCATATACATCATCAAGGATTTTTAAGAGAGATTTGTTTCCCGATCCTCCCACGAGTCTATGTTTTGTATGTATTTTTTTTGTCAGTATAAAAGTAAAACCATTTAGTGTATTTAGTAAGAAGTAAGGAATTGGCAGGTATACCACTACTTAACATCTCTTAATGAGTGTTTACAATATAGTACAATAAAACGCATTTCTGTTTGGCTGAGTTAGTATTAGAAACATGTGTTAGTTTTTATTTTATTATTTTATAGAAAGGGATTTGCTGTGGGTGGAGATATACTGTCTACTGAGTGCTGTTACTGTTATTATTACAACTATTATTATTATTACTGTACTATTACTTACTATCATTATTGTTGTTGTTAATTTAGATTTTAATTTATGCTATAATTGTTATTGATTTGCTCGCTTCATTCATTTTATAGGCCTAAATGCTTGTGCTAACAACATCTGTCAGAATGGAGCTGCTTGTGTTGCTGTAGCTGGCTCCTGTACAGCTTACACATGTACTTGTAATGGATGCTTCACTGGAAACTTTTGTGAAACGCGTATGTCTACTTTTTTTGCAATAAAATATGAAATTCTTAGCCTTCTTTGTTTTAATTTAATTTAATTTAATAACTTTGATCAAACTATAAAATCGTTCATCAGTATCTGCAAATAATCATGGTGTTTTTTGCTTTTAATCATGTAAATATGGACAAATTGTTGTTCTATTGCTACTATATTCTTACTCGTCTGTGTTTTTCATTTGACAACATAGCAATCAGTGCTTGTGCTAACAATGTCTGTCAGAATGGAGCTGCTTGTGTCACTGTAGCTGGTTCCTGTACAGCTTACACATGTACTTGCAATGGATGCTTCACTGGAGCCTTCTGTGAAACAGGTATATTAACTTTATTTACTTATTGTTATTATTTACTTTGTGTAAGATTTTTAGATATTTTAGATAGGTTGTGTCACTGTACAAGCGCCTTGACCATTTTGGAAAGGCGCTATACTTATCACATTTTTATAATAGTAATAGCAGGTCAAGTCTTTGCACGCCCCAATTTAGGAATGTTATCGAAGACAGAAAGAATGTCAGATGCTGAAGATGGCTGACTGGCTCAGTTCAGACAAATTTGTGCGATTCAGTGAATGGAGTTGTTCACCTTTATTTTAGTAAAGGGGTGTTTTCTTAAGCTGGATATTATGTTTGCATGTAGTTTTAATTCAGACATTAATAATCATAATCATTAACTTTGTTGATATCTGCTACAGTGTTTATATTCGGTTTCTGTTGCGTGTTATAAAAAGTAGGCCTAATATTAAACTTTAACTTTCAATCAGATGAGAGTCTTGTCACACATGCTCAGGTGATTTCGTTTTGGCCCTATCCTGTGCGAGGCAGTTATTTAACGATTAATATAACCATGGAAATGTGTACTTCTGCAGTTATTTTCTTAATAAATGGTGTTTGAGTTTAAAGGTCATTTATATTTAAAAGTTCTTGATTTTAGAGCGAGGTATTTTGTTAATTATGTTTCTGAAGTTTACAAAATCTTCGAAAAAACAAATGCTAGTCAGCAGCCTATTAGAAAAACCCTGCCGTACTACTTAATATTTGCTGTATAGTAGATTATAAAAGTTTGCAGTACATTGGCCTACAGTATTATAAGTGTCCAAACAGAGATAAAATTAACAACTAAGGCTTAATAATAATAGACCTAATCAATAATAATAGGCCCAGTAGTAATAAATAATAATACAGTAAATAGTATGATGATGTATAGAGAATAGAGCATAACCATTAATTAAATTAATTATTAATGTCGTGGGTCAATGAGTCAAAGAACGAACTAAGACTTGTATATGTTGTATAACGTTTATTAACTGCAGCATCAATTGTAACTAACAAAAACAACCCCTGAAACAACAGAGAAAATAAAATAAGTACATCAAAGTTACCTCTTACAAGTCCAAAACAATATGTAGCGAGCAGTAAGGCCTCAACATTATTCAAGTCTACTTTACATAAGGTAAATTAACTGTTCGATTAAATCATATTCTCTTATTATAAATTGCAAATCTCAAATTACAGCACGTCTAATGTAACGTCAAATTATATCTTCTCATGGGTACGAACATAATAAATTGCAATATCTCTCAGTATATCAATCTCAATTGAAATCCTCTGTTAAACTCAATAATTACATGAAATCATCTATCAGTTCTCATATAACATACTCATAACATTAAGAATGTTGCATCTCAACATTAACTCTCAAATAATTAGACACTGGCAACTCCAACCATGTCTCTCAATATTAAAGATTTACTAATTCTCAACCTCGAAATAATAATCATATGACAATCGCAATACCTGCGGTGCCCTCAATGGTATACACCAAAATCAACTCTGTAATTATATCGCACGATACAGCCAATCACTGTCGGGATCGCCGACACCAGGTGAATCTCCTATTAAAACAACACATCATAACTTCTAATGTGATGTCACATATTCATATTTTAACATATTAGAAAACATATATAACACAATATTAGCATAATCCAGCAACCAACTTGTTACTCTTAACAAAAAAATGACTAACTCTCATAATCAATACCTTACTAGTTCCATAATAATCATTACATTAACACATCATACAGTATATTGAATAATACAAACTTCAGTCAGAAGCAGATACTTAAATATCACAAATATTATGAAATACGCATAAAACTCACAAATTAAAAGATCAAATAAAAAAATTAACTATTTATATAATAACAATAATCAATAAAACGATCGTACTATCATCAGAATCGTGATAATAGTATACATCGTACGACGGCCCGATAATTACATGGGCGCCGCCATCTTGGATTAATGTTTATATAGAGCGCCCTCTCCAGCACGAGAGTTCGTGAAAACTAATATTAAAACGTCAGATGAGCATGTGGAAAAGCTTATCTACAGCTTATTCTGGAACCAAGCGCAAGGCTGGCAATAAACAATCGTTAGCGTAGGTTATCATATTACAAGCCCACATTACGAATTCGTTCTACCGCAGACATTATTATAGAACATCATAACAACAATTATCAGTGAAGCAAGTTGACATTTTACTAAGCATTCATGGTAAATTATCATTAACTATTTGCCTAAATCAGTGCATAATCTTTAACATGCAAACTAATCTGTACAACTTGGCCTATGCAGTACTGTATAGAACATCGATGTTACTATCGGGCTAGCATCAAATATATCGTAAAATTACACTAATATAAAGAATAATTACACTTTGATATAACTTAGTATATCTGTACTATAATATTATACAAATTATAGTGATTACTACATACCAGTCAACTGCAGACAACAGTTACTCTTCAAAAGTAACCAGAATCAATCAGTGTCTCTACACATACGTCTTGCCTCATGCAAAACGGAGCCGCAACTGCCTCATGTTCGCAAGTCGCGCGCTAAGCCACAGAACAGAGGCGCTCTACGAAAAATCACTGCGCTAATAAACAGCACTCACAGAATAATCGAGTGTGTGCTTATGTAAAAAAGTAGTTCTAATTAAATAAACAACAATAAAATTTGGTTCCCGACATTAATACAGTACATCATTAGTTTATACAAGTTTAAACATGTATGAACACCTAAATATATATGAAATAAAATAAATTAACGTCTCCACAACATACACCCATCGAAACATACACCCATCGAAGAAGGTTATATTGTTTACTGTGTATATCCATATATCAACTTTGCCTCAGCTAAGACAGTTATAATTTGCTGATTAACAAGACTGGACAGGTGTGTACGCCGCCCCAGGCACCACAAAAGAACCAAGTTATTCTGGCACGCCGGTACCACAAAAGGCACTTACACGTTTAAGCGATAAGATAAGACCATAGTTGTACACACACATTGTGTTGCCAAAGAGAGAATTCTACTCCAGTTCAACCATGGAGGAATTAGTTCTGTAGGTGATTAGCCCTGCCTTACTTTACCAGTACTTCCCAATACTCGTGGTAATTCCTTTGCTTACCGAACCACTTTTTACATGTGTAACAAAAACAGAATTTCCCATGAACATGAGAAAAAGAGACAGATCCATCGCCTGAGAATTACAGTTAGATCAAACTTAATATATACTCAACTAACATGCATTTAATATAAGTACAGCATACATGTTTATAATCAATCATAAAATTGCCAATATTTTACTGTTAAGTGATATAAATTTGAAAAATTTGACCGGGAGTGTCCTGGAATTCCTAAAAATTTGTTTGTTTAAAAACATACAAACTCTGTGATCATCATATATGCTTGGTATTCTATAACCAAAAGCTTTTTAAACCACAAAAAGTGAATCACTTTCAATTGCTGTCATTCTCTATACTGTGTTTGTATGTGTTGCCTTTGTGATTGCTTGATGTTTGGAATATATAAAATATCATAAATTTACAATATTTTTGCAGGTATTAATGCTTGTGATGGTAACCTCTGTCAGAATGGAGGTGCTTGTAACACTGTTCCTGGTTCCTGTACAGCTTATACTTGTACCTGCTCTGGATGTTTTACTGGGGCCTTCTGTGAAACAGGTAAATACATAGTCATATTCATGATCAAGGATTTTTAAGAGAGATTTGTTTCCCTCCTCCCACGAGTCTATGTTTCTTGTAGGGTGCAATTGTTTTGGGCTGTCAACCTTAAGATTGTAGGATCCGCATTGCTGTATTCACATCAACTTCAAACCAAACAATACTCACCATTATTGTCTCCACCATATGTTTCCAGTCATGTAAAGTTTGTGAGTGTGTGTTTAAACTTAACACAATCAAGCATACATTTATACCTGGAAATATGCAATTCAGTATCTGTTGCCAGTTTGCTTGTTAGGACTTCCCACAAAAAGATTGTATATACTACATTTGGATTTTCCTGGGCAAACATGTTTCTGCTTTTATTTTGCATTATAATCAGATTTACATGTGTTAACTTTGTGATTGTTGATGCTTGGAATAAATATATGACATATAATAACAATAATTTTTGCAGGTATCAATGCTTGTGCTGGTAACCTCTGTCAGAATGGAGGTGTTTGTAACACTGTTCCTGGTTCCTGTACAGCTTATACTTGTAGCCTGTCTCTTATACACATCTAGATGTTTATAAGAGACAGGTCTTACACCATCGTCAGATACAACAGCTGTGTAATGAATATTCAAATTGGTGCACTTACGCTAGTAACTTCATTTTTTTGGAAACAAATTTGGAATATTTTTAATGCATCTTTATATTTAAATATGTGATGCAGGTTTTGTAAATTATTCTTATTGTATTTTTATATCTGTTAATAATATCAGTTACCTTGTTTCTTTTTAATTGTTTTTAAATATTATAATGATTTTATAATTTTAGATGGGTTTTGTCACTGTACAAGCGCCTTGACCATTTTGGAAAGGCGCTATATATATCATATTTTTATAATAATAATAATAATAATAATAATAATAATAATAATAATAATAATTATTATTATTATTATTATTACTTAATAATAACTAAAATAAAAATGATTTAAATTCAAACTATAAAATGATTGATCAGTATCTACAAATTGTAGTCTTAGTGTTTTTTGCTTTTAATTATGTAAATATGGACAAATTGTTGTTCTATTGCTACCATATTCTGACTCGCCTGTGTTTTTTCATTTGACAACATAGCAATCAGTGCTTGTGCTAACGCCGCCTGTCAGAATGGAGCTGCTTGTGTCACTGTACCTGGTTCCTGTACAGTTTACACATGTACTTGCAGTGGATGCTTAAAAAAAAAAATTTAAAAATCTATGACCCCATGGCATGTAATGACTTAACTCTCTTAAAAACTTTTATTTCCGATTACATTAAAATGTGTAGTTTTCAACATAGTATCTAACCAAGAAGGAGCTGAGTACCAAAGCTGAAACTTGGTTTATAGGTAGACCTAATATATCTATATAACTGGTGTCAATTTAGGAAAAGATTTTAGCTGTCCACATGACGAACTGCTAATGAGCAACATAGGCTTTTTCACTTAAGGGCTGGTCCCAACTTTGAATGGATGCCATTCCATTTTAATTCATTTTATCAGCCTGTGCTTGCTTGTGGCTAGAGACAACTATGTATAGATAATATATCTGTAATATAACATGTATACACTCACTCATATGGACACAGGGTTACCTCAAAAATCACAAAAAAATTGCGTTAAACAAAGTGGTTATTTTGAGTGCAGATCTGATGCCATATTTGTGTAATATCGTGGAAAATAAGTTAGAATACCAGGTTTGACCTTGAAAGCTATTACCTATCCCGAGTTGTAAGCCTCCTAAGTTGGAGAAAATCATGTTTGCTCATCTTGAATAACCATGCCCCTTTTTTCTAGTAGTAATAATAATAACAATAATAATATTAATAATAATAATAATAATAGTTATTAGCATTATTGTTGTTATTAATGCAGATCTTAATTTATGCTTATAATTGTTATCAATTCCTCGCTTTATTCATTTTATAGGCCTAAATGCTTGTGCTAACAACATCTGTCAGAATGGAGCTGCTTGTGTTGCTGTAGCTGGCTCCTGTACTTCTTACACATGTACTTGTAGTGGATGCTTTACTGGAAACTTCTGTGAAACATGTATGTTAACTTATTTACTTTTGATCAAACTATAGAATTTGGTTTTTTTTTCAAACTACATAATTGATCAGTATCTGCAAATAATCTTGGTGTTTTTTGTTTTTAATCATGCACATGGACAAATTTTTTTTCTATTGCTACCATTTACATGTATTCATACCATTTACATGTGTACTGGTTAATAGTCAAGATTACTTTGATTGCTTCTTGATAAGCAGTGTGGGTGATTTTGATGACTAAACTTGATAAGGAACCCAATCTTCTTAAGAAATTTTCACTTCTAAATTGTCAAGGGAAAAGTTAAGTGACAAAATAATGATAATAATAATATGAATAGTATTTAGACTTTGATTAATCTACATTTCAGATAATATACAATACAGTTGACAGTGCATAATAGAAAGATTTATAGCACTTTTACTCATAATATCCTCTGCCGTAAGTTGCTTCACACTCCGCTACATTACTTGTTTGAATCCTATCCAATCTACAATCAGTCTCGCCCCCACTGGTTGATCGCTGAACTTAACTATAAACAATTAAAATTACCACATGCTATCAAACATATGTATTCATGACGTAACATATGTATTCATGACGTAACATATGTATTCATGACGTTATTCCCAAAGCTTATTGTGCAACACATGCACACTGCTCTTGCATCTCCCATTATGAATTTCACATGCTCATCTTGCCAACATAATTATTACCCATGTGCGAATTGTGCATTAGAATTTAAAATAATACCATAAATTATGACTGATTTTATGTTGAAAGAAATTCACCTGGCTTGTAAAATATAGCTTTTAATATTGTAAGTAAGTCTGCTTGTTTTTATACTTGTTTTTCAAAAAAATGTTGAAATCATCAAACAAATGTTTAGTTTGTTATTAATTTGAAATTTAACCTCTTTAGTCTATTTCATGAATACTTACTTACCTGGATAAACCGATAAATGCCTAAGTTTTCTTTGAAACTTACCTCTCGAGCATAAAAGAAAATAATAGACTCGCCCTAGCTTGCCTATATACGCCCTGCGTGAATGAACAATATCCTCTTTATTTGTTTTCAAAGACTTGTAGTATGTAATGTTATAATTAAAAAAACAGAAAAATAATTTTTCATCAACTTTTTTAACTTTGTGTTGAATCAGCTGGTAGTGCTTGCACCAACAATCTGTGCATTAACGGAGGAGTCTGTAGTCCAATCAGCGGATCTTGTACATTTTATTCCTGTACCTGTACAGGATGCTACAGTGGTCAATACTGTCAAACATGTAAGTTACCAATTACAAAAAAAAAATATCAACTGGTAGAAATGTAAGAAGTATTTCAGTATTTAAAAAAAATTGAAGATTGATTGAATGGATGCAGATTCATAATATATTTTAGGAAACAATTGGGGGGAGGAGCTGACAATTCCTCATTTTAACTATTCAAACTCCCTATACTAACTCCTATTTTGACAACATTAAAAAGCGAACATGCCCTGTTTACCCCCTTTCAAGAATTTACTCATATTTCAGTGGGGAGTGTATTAGTTTATTACTTTTTAACAATATTAAGTTAACTTGTAGAAGCGGTTGGTGCATTGGTTGTGGCTTAAACTCCCAATCTTAAGGTTAGGGGCTTGCGCGAGACACTTTATCTAGGTTTGTCTCTCTCCACCCAGGAGTATAAATGGATACCCGGTGGCTCACTACGGGAGAAGAAAAATGGTGACGTGCAAAAGAATGGGTCACTCTAACACGCAATACCAAGGCTTACTACAATGGGCTAACAGCTTATTCCCCTACATTCAGTAATGAATATGGGACTACGTTTGCTTTTAAGTTAACTTTGTGAATATATACTAGGTATAACAATTGTTTTCATTTTAAGCTTTCATGCTTATTTTGAAAAATTATATTTAATTTATTTATTAATGCTCTATGCCATACATAATTTTCACTGATCATTGTGCCAACCATAATACACTTGTTGATTTTTATTCTGGCAGTTTCTAATGGGTGTACTGTCAATCAATGTCAGAATGGAGGTGCTTGTGTAGCTGGAACTTTTTCATGTACAGCTTTCATCTGTTCATGCCCTTCAGCTTACACTGGAACCTTGTGTGAAACTCGTAAGTAATAATGTATTGCTTTATTTTAATAACATCCAACAATGACTGAAGTCGCATTTAATGAAACTGAACATTTAACGAAATCACAGTAGAATTATGATTATATTAAATACTAATATAATTTGAACAAAACTCTAGCAGAAGTGAATTAAATAAAAAAAATATTTTGAGGGTGACAGGAGCACAACTTTGTAATCGTGTTATCGTATTAACCACTATGTTACCAGCCTGTACATCTGCATCCTGTTTGAATAGATAATAATTAATGTGGTGATAAAGATGGTAATAATGATCATAATGATGGTGATGATGTTATTTTTACACATGCAAGTGATTACAAGTCACTGATTCAAAGCTGCTTTAAAAACTAAATTTCTCTTTATGAGGCTTAGTGGAGTTTAAGATCGGATACTATAAATAATCTGATAAGTGCCACTCTGAAATAAGTGTGCATTAAACACAATTTTTTTTTGCAAGCGCATGTGGATAAGTGCCATGATATGCAAAGTGTATCTGTTTTGAATAAATGTAACACCATTTAAATGAGAGTAGGCGTTCATGTCAATGTCTCTTCTATTAATCAGCAATAACACTAATGTTAGAACATGCCAGATAAGCCTGTGTTAGAGCAAAAAGTATGGTCTTAAAAAGCACTCAAATAAGTGCGTTCAAAAGCCACCAAAATCTGAGGCTTGTGGCTCAGTTATTTACGGTTTTGTTGCAATAAACTTTTAATTTATTTTGATAGATAAATATATTCTTATAATAAATTAATGTTTTTTAGCAATTAGATGTAGGTAATATTTTAAAATGTTAATGACAATTGTACATATATTTTATGAAAGTGGTCCATCCAGCCGGAGCTGATCATTAAGGACCCTTAATACATAAAACAAGTAACAAAGTAAATATAAAGAAATTAAAATGATATAATAATTATAAAAACCAAGTAACAATTGAAAAGAAATTATATATACATATTATATAAATAAAATTTAAAATAACATTAACTTGACTATAAAATAATTAAAAACAGGATAATAATGGCATAAAAAATGAAAGACAAAAAAACACAACTAAAAAGATTAAAATAAACAACGTATTAAAAAAAAAACAAAAAAAAGACCTACAAGTTAAGGACCAGCCTGAAGAAATAGAGAGAGAGAGCGAGAGAGACAGAGGGAATAACTAACTAAACCATAGAAGGTTAGATTTAAAGGATGAGATGCTTTTAGAATTTCTGATATTTAAAGGGAGTGAGTTAAAAACCGAGGGGGCATTGAAGCTTAAAAACATTTCTAAAGGCAGGCTCAGGTCGACACGGAACTGAAAGGAACTCAACTCAACTCAATTCAACTCAACTCGTCGACATGAGCGCTCCGCGCAACTGAAAGGAACTGAACGCAACTGAACTCATGTCGACTTCGAGTAACTGAAAGGAACTGAAAGGAACTTGGCTCATGTCGACTGGCAACTGAAAGGAACTATTGGCTAAAAACATTTTCCCCGCGAAATCCCATCAACTGCAAAATGTCTGTAATTTTTTTATTAAGACATGTAATTATTTTAAAAAGTGTATCTACTTTATTTTTTTGT